GTATCAGTGTTCCAATGCCATACAATAGAAAAGTTGCGGGATGAATGAGAGAAAAATGGTGATTAATTGATGGATACTTTGGTCGACGGGTAAGAGGCAAGGAAGGTATATTCTTATATGCGTAGAAAATTTCCAAGAAGATGCTAAGAGAAGCCTAGTCAGCCCACATGATAGAAATGGTTAGCAAAGAAGAGTGAATTGCTAGAAAAGCAGCTAAACATAAGGACCATTTGGGACCCCCTCCAAAGTATCCAATTGAGAATCCTGATTGATTATTCCAGTTCCCTTCCACCTTCACCATCAGTTCATTGAATGAAACTTCATAAAGAACTTTTAGTTTCATTATTGCAATGCCTAGTATGATTCAGGAATTCCGGAGCCTCGAAAATGCACTGTTCAAAATTTAACGACAAAAATCTCAAATATAAAGCACAGTAGCTGGAATATTTTCTCTATCTTTATAGATTAGGGTTTGAAATTTGAATGCATTGATTTTTCATGTGGGTTTGTGGTCTCAAAGTTTGAGAGTGGACCACTACATTTAGCAAGGGTGATAGCTTCATTGACATTTGAACTTCAATGCATGCAAGATGTATCAAGGGACAAACAATTAAGGTCATCTCCAACCGAGCCGGCCAAAGGAATATAGGCCAAAATATAACCCGTTTTAACACAAAACCTATCTCCAATAGAAGGCAAGGCCAAAAAAATTTGGGCCCCTCTAGACCAAAATATAGCCAATTGGCCAGAGGACTGGGCAAACATAGCTAGCTAGCCAGCCAACCCTAAAAGTTGGGCCCATATGTGCTGCTAGATGACGTCATGTAGGTTTTTTTAGTTTTTTTTTTAAAGACTAAATTTTAAAAATAAAAAATTTTAAAATCTAATTTTTTTCCTATAAATACCTAAGTCATTTCTCATATCATTTTCACTCTTTCATATTATCTTACCTCATTTTAATATCTAAGTTGTTAACATGCAAGTAAAATTAAAATATTTAATAACATGAAACTTAAACAACATGAAATTTAAAACACATTTAGTGACAAGTGACCCTCAAAATGTGTCTATAAACCTTATTTTAATTCAATTAATCAATAAAATTAAAGAACAAACTTAAAATAATAAATTATTGAGGGGTCTAAAAATAGCCCTCTTCGGTTGGAGATTGTATATAGATATGACATGACACTGTTCATTAAAAAATAATTTATTGTAGGACTATAATCTGGAGAAGGGCTAAACATAGCCCATTCGGTTGAAGATAGCCTAACCATCGTATAACTGGCCTACCATTGCTTGAAAAGAAAACCTAATTACATTATTGTTAATGGAGGTGGATTGTCTGCCCTCTCATTTCCATACTTTTTCTATCCCCTCCTGTTTTGTGTTGTCACGGTTAAGCCACGTTAATATTTTATATTCTTATTACTTTTTGTTTTATTATTTTTATAAAAAAATAATATAAAATATTGACGTGACTTAATCATGACCACACAGAAGGGGATGAGAAGAGTATGGAAATGAGAAGGTAGACAATCCACCTCCATTGTTAATCATCTCAAAAGTTGCCGTCAATGACCAAACCCAAGCATCAGCCAACTCTTTGTTGTTTAGGTGAAAACAGATTGGCATTAAGGAGCTGCCACGCAACATGAAAGTTGTGATATTAATGCTGCAAGAGTTGGTACAAGTAGCCCTATGCCATCCTGGTCCTCAACTCTGCTTGATTAAGTTAAGCAGTCATTGAATACAGAAAATATATACTCGGCTCGTTATTTGAGAAGAAACTATTCCTACTTACTAATCACATGTTGATAAGTGTCAAACCATGATTTATACAGAGAAGGACTGACTCCTCCCACGAAAGACAACAAGATATGAGTTAGGTTAGACCGGACGATATCGATCTTTCTCTAGAACTGGTGCTAGCTATGACACTCATTTTTATACATGAAAATGTACTTGATTTGTTCAGCTTGGATTAAGAGGGAAAACTGTCAGTAATTAGATGCTAATGGAAAATATAGGAGCTTAATTCAACTTGTTTAATTTGTGATCCTACTGCTTATATATTTTGGTTTCTCTGGGCTAGAAGATTTGTTTATATAGTGGGCAATTTTTTGTTTTGGACTTGTATTATTCCTTCTTGGGCTTCAATGAATAGGCATGCACTGATCAGTATATATTATATACTGCAGAGATGGGAAAAACTTTCGATTTCTAGGGCCGACGTGTATAATTTTCCATGTTGTCAATATTTGTACTCTTATTGGGTTTAGGGTTTAACGACGAATGATCTTTATGGGACCAAACCGCCCTCCTATTTTCTTAATATTCACTGCTCATATTGTTGAGTATGAATCATCGGTCCGGGAAAAAAAAATCATGTACTCTCTTAGAAGCAATTAGATTAGACTCTTCGTATTGACAATTGAAATAAAGCACCCAAATAATAAAGTAACTAGTTAGATGTAACTATTCCAAGCATCTCACAACTACTATTGAGAAGCAAGATGACGCAGATTTTCTGGCTAGGAAAAAGGAAGCGTATCTTGAGTCCATGAACCTGGGGTTGTCAAAGGCGAAACTACAGAGGCACAAAGAGGGGTCGTCAGAAATCGTCACTGAGTGAAAATTCCGTGCCTCTGCTCATTGAATCTGGGGTTCGTTCTGATTTGTGGTGCTTCGCTGCAGCAATGATGCTGCTGTGTTTATTTTTTATTTTTTAAATACCCAGGACAAAATAACATTGTTTTCGACGTGGGATTAAAAAATAAATAAAATGGTTCGTCTGGTTTTGTTGAAAACTAAAACGGTTCGTTTACGCCATCATACAATTCAACTTGACAAAAAGGCAAAACCTTTTTCCTGCCATTGGAGAACACAACATTCACAGCAAGGCTGCAAGAGTCTCTCCAGACTCCAGACTCCTGCGCCACCGCGGTCTATCCATCTGAACACCTACGCTGAAAAGCTTCCCATGATGCAATGGTTTAATCTAAGTATGTGTACATGTTAATTAATGATATGAATCTACGAAACAAAAAAAGCTCATACAAATGCGGGAGCTGCTGAGTTAATGGAGGAGGCCAAGTCTATTTATCTTTCTTCTTTTTTCACAGCACAAATATTTTTGTTGCTCAATAGGGAATGATGATCAGTCGACCGACGTTGTTCTGGGTGTGCCTTTCACCACGCTGTTGCTCTCTCCTTTAGTCGAGATTTTCAGCGCTGCGAGAAGAGAATCTTCAATGGAAAATCGTCTAGGGTTGCAAAAAAATTCAAATCTAAAGTTCTCCTGTTTTTACTTTGCAAAGTTTTGCTTCCATTGATTTTTTAGGAGGTTCCATTTTTTCTAGTAAATTAGTAAAAATATGCTCCTTTTTTATTTCTTCCCTTCAAGTTATCCAAGCTTTCAACTTGTGGTGCTAAATAACTTGTACAATTGCCCAAGTATGTCTGCTTACTTATTCATCCGTAGGTTGCCAATTGTTAAGTAGTACGTAAATTCAGCTCAACCGACTTTTAGATCTTAGATCCGTCACTGTTACTCAGAGTCGTACTCTGTCAAATTTTATGGCACGAAAAGTATTTGAGATGCCAGAATATGGACGAAGCATGCATCTTTGATATTGCTCTACATCATCATGCAAATCATGCGCTTAGCATCGATCCAAATATTCCATGCTGACTTCGACGTAGCTATTCTGGCAGTCGGCCAATTAAGACGAGAAAGCTGATAAGCTCATTGCCGGACAGCATATTGGGAAACTTCCTCAACATGTTGCATGTCCAAACCAATTTTGAATGATAACTTGGCTTCTTCCTATCTTGGAAATGTCACAAATAGCCAGTCGAGAGCGAATTTAAAGAAAAAAAAACTCGTTTTTTGTGTTTGTATGTATGATTTATTGATTTGGACAACTTGGACAACAAGTTAAATTGTTATTTGTGTGATCCAGATTGCTGCTCAAGCAAGGGAGATTTTCTCTTTTCTAGCTCACCTGTGTATATAATTTGATCAAAAGGAGTTGATTTGGTTATTAATGATACACCCAGATCCGTAATATTTACCCGAACATTCAAATTGAGCTGTGTTGGTTTTATCACCTCCAGCATAGTTTGATTCAGGTGTCCAGGTGAACATTATAGGTCGGAGTATGTCAATTAGTGTGTGGTTTTCCAGTACTGCAAAAATGCATTGGTTGACCAATATTAGCACAAAAATGCATATTCCACAATGAATGCACGAAGTAGAAGTGGGCGTAATTACATTGGTTAAAACATACGTGCTTCTCGGTATATGTATTAATTTCAAATCTCCATCTTCGGAACTTTAGATTAGTTTAAAATATAATATTGCTAGTATAAAGAAACAATAAATGTGTGCATAATGACATGCTAAATATAACTCATTCGATTTGAATACCATTTATCATCAATACATACCAAACTAATAAGTAATTATGTACAAGTAGCGTTAATGATGAATTGTTTATTTCTTAATTTATCTGAATGACTAAACAATCTCTAAATTAAACGGATTTTCTAAACTTGTCAAGACACAATATATAATCAAAAGAAGTTGCTACAATATGAATTAAAAAGATGAAACCAAGGTTAAAATTAATTTGATAAATAATTAGGTAAAATCTCAAGAACTAAACTTAGCTAGGCGGCCCATAGTCTTATTCAGGACCAAATAATTAGGTTAAGCAAAGTCAAGGGTATTTAGGTCTAATCAAATTAGTCATCGCTATCAACGCGACCAAACCCTTAGCGCAGAAACAGGGAGACCGGAATAGCCGGTAAAATGCATTTATCAAAAGCGCACGATGGACCCCACACGGTGCATGGACCGGTAATTTCTCATTGACACGCGTCCTGTCTTATCCGTTTTCCAATTTTCCCTTTAAATTCTGAATCCAAACCCCCAAACCGTCAAAAATGTTAATTTTGGTAATCCGAATTCCCAAATCCAACGTCTCTCTCTAAAAATGTCCACTAATCTCATCAACTTCCGTCCAATCCTAACCGCGCCGTGCGCCGCCGGACACCGAAGGCCCAGCTCAGTTGGCGGGAAAGGCTCGCCGTCCAAGTGGTGGACCCCGATCTTCGGGTGGTCCTCCGAACCCGACTACATTGACCCGGAGGCAAAGACGGAGTCCGACGACAAGGACGAGGGCGGAGCAGCCGACTCGAAGCAGAGGCGATCGCGGTTCGCGCCCGGCTGCTTCACGGAGGAGAAGGCGCGGCAGCTCCGGATCAAGACGATCGAGATGGAGACGTATCATGACGCGATGTATCACTCGTCGATCGCCAACAGACTCGCCTCCGATTTCAGGAACCGGTCCGATCTATGAGCCGGCGATTTAGAGATGATGAGAGAATAATGTTTTGCCCCAAAGAATCTATTTTTCTTTTTTGATAAAGTAGGATTAGGGGCGGTGAAAAATGTGAAAGATGGTGACGTCCATGATGTAATTAACGCTTTAGTTGCGTGATTTAGACTATTAAGCTTGTAATTATTGATGTTGTTTATAAATAATATGATTTTTGTTTTAAATTTGGTTTGTAAATTGGGAAAATTGGCCAAATTGATGGGAGATCAAATCTCAAAAACTGATCAAGTATCGACAACATACTCTAAGATGGGTGTTTTACATCTCTCCCGCTAAAGAGTTTTCCGCTTAACCAAAAAATATAAAATGCTAATTTTAATGCATTTTGTAGATGTCCTAATAAACTTAGGGAATTTGAATGAAACATTTTCAATATTATTCACTTTAACGTTAAAGATATTTTTACCTTAAAAAGTCACTCTTGTATTATTCACTTACACCTTTATTTTGTTATTTTCATTAAAACTAAAGTTTTTGGGAACTTTTCGTTAATTTTTCTATAAACGTAATTGGTTTACATTGGTTGAACTGTTCAAGATCAATAATTAATCCTAGTGATATTCGGGAAGAGAAATGACGAGAAGTCGAGAACACATGACCTCGGATGCAGATGGCGTACTACAAACGCCTTGCAAGGTCTAGGTCAAGTTTTTTCTTTTGGGTCAAGTTGGATGTGGCATATTTGGATCGTTGGTAGGATCCTACAACTTGGAAAAGTATCCAAACTAGGAATATGCCGGTGACTATCGCACCGAATACATGGGTAATGAAACTCATGATTCGTGACAGGGACACCGTGCTTGGGACTTGGGAGGGGCATGGTCGGGATATTTTCACCAAAAAGTATACATGTAACGTATCGGAAGCCAAACTCCGCAGGAGAACTTCTATGCACCCGGGATGCCACGTTGGTTGTAGCCCAAGCAAATCACGCACAGGCACAGTGTTGCGTAAGAAGTCAAAATTTTAAGTACCAAAAATCGAAATACATGACATTGCTCCACTGGCTTGCGATCATAGGCATAGGTGAGTAATTCTCCTACTGCACAGATGCAAGCCAAAGAAAAAGACAGGCAGGCAATGTTAGCATATATAACTGCAACCATAACAAATCTAACAATTGACAAAACCAGTTCACTCATTTGTATTTATTCACTAGCAATTATATGCCGAAAACAGATTGCGGTTGTATCTCCCGCCGGCGAAAAGAAGAAGAAACGCAGTATGCGGTTATCAGTATAGCTCCATAATAGATGGAGATAATCTGAAATTATCCAAAGACAATGTATCAAAATAGCCTAAAGTAATTGCGGTTGTATCTCCCGCCGGCGAAAAGAAGAAGAAACGCAGTATGTGGTTATCAATATAGCTCCATAATAGATGGAGATAATCTGAAATTATCCTAAGACAATGTATCAAAATAGCCTAAAGTAAATGTTGGTGCAGTTGGAACATAGAGCTGAAAGAACCCGCAAAACGATTCACGTTGGTGTAAGCTACTGCATAATCTCAAACCCTGCTCTTGAAATTTACTTGCTCTCAGCATCATACAGATCAGTTCTGAATATGTCTGTTAAGGATAAACACACCAGAATGTGGAGAAGACAACGAAGACATGACAAGAGTGAAATACAAAGAGCTCAAACAATCAAATAAATGTAATATTCATGAGTAGCAATTTACAAAAGTACGAGTATGTTCTTGATTCTCTATTACTTTGAGTGAGAAGTAGACTCGTTTGAAAATGCTTTTAAAATGGTTGAAAACGGTTTTTGTGAAAGTGTTTTTGGATCCAATCTTTAGTAAAAATGTAAGTAAATCTTGAAAAAGCACTTGAAGTGCTTCCTACAAGAAGCACATAACTGATGCTTCTTGCAAGAAGCCCTTTTACGTACTTTTGGAACCCAGAACATTTTCTCTAAAAAGCGTTACCAGTCATTTTAAAAACACTTCCAAACGAACCCTAGTATCTTATGCCACAACGCTACACTTATACTTTTATCTTTACATAAGTCAAACAGAATGTGGAAAAGACAACAAAGACATGATGAGAATGAAATACAAAGAGCTCGAAGAATAAGATAAATGTTATATTCATGAGTAGCAATTTACAAGAGTATATTCTTGATTCCCTATCATTTGAGTGAGAAGTAATATCTTATGCCACAACGCTACCCTTACGCGTTTATCTGTACACAAACACAAGGATTTCTTCTCAAAGACAGAATTTCAAATTTCGAAAGGAACCACAACAAGTCAGCCTGTCATGTGTATCAAACGAACTCGAAGCTAATCTATTTCAACGGGTGATATCTCCATATCATCACCACATAAAAAACCAACAACAACAACAACATCTACGGAACTCGAAGCCAATATATTTCAACAGTTGATATCTCCAAACAACAACAACAAACAACAACAACAACCACCAAGCCTTATCCCACTAAGTGGGGTTGGCTCAAACCATCACCACATCAACACCACAAATTCTAGCTTGCAAATCGAACAATTCTCTAAAACCAATTCCCCTACCCTGCTCCTTTCACCTACATATACCACCAGAACATGCTCTAATGTTAGCAAAACCAAGCCCCATCTTATTCGAACAGACATCTTTCGCTATTGCTGCCAAGATTTTGGACAAAAAATATCCAAAATCTTGGCAGCAAATGCGAAAATCTATAAACTACGGTTCCATTTTAAAACCTAAGTTACTAATTCTTCCACCAATTCGCATTCATTCCGTAACTTATAGCAATCAAAACATGTCATTTCTCATAGCACCAATCTATCCATTCAATATATGATCTATAAATCCCCAAAATACTAAAGTACAAAAAAGGATACACCAAATAAAAGCCATGAGCAAATGCTCCAACCAGCACAGCAGTAAACAAGCGGTCCCGCACAACCGGATTCTTCCGCAATGAGAGTCGAACTAAGAAAATCAAACATCCACATAAAAATAATAATAAATTGTTGGGAAAAAAACCCAGATGGGAAATACAGATTAAAATCACAAAATTAAATTTAAAAAGAAGTTGAGAAAATTGGGAAAACTTACTGAGGGGAAGAACAGGGGCATATATAAGAGGAATCAAGAACTTGACTTGATGTCCTGGTTGTCTCTTTCGGATTGCAGCACCACCCTCCCTATCAATATTTCCATGAATAAAACGAAAATAAATAATTAAAAATGGAATTAAAATTTCGATGAGTTTGGCGGGACTAACTGATTAGAGCGATCGGAGGAGGCGGGCCAGGAGGCCATGGCGGGTGGGTGGGTCGATGAAGGGATTTGAGATCTGGAGATGTATTGTCCGATTACTTCTCTGCGCCTAATTGAAACGGTGCGGTATGGTCAATTTATCGGGCCCTTTAGAATATATATAAAATTCCAACGGCATTCCTCGCATAAATTATTAATTTAAAAGAATTATTATTACTAAGGGAAATGTGAGTTTCCAATCGAGACGCACTGAAACTTATTCATTAAAATATTGAACTGCATGTATATTTTGTAAATAAATCATTAAATTGAAGGTGAAATTACTTTTGTCTTTTATTTGAGAAATTCCTTATTTACGCATCTTTTTTACATCTTGTCATAAGTAATATCATTTACAATATTTTAAAGTACCATAGGGTGCGTTTGGTACGCAGACGGGACGGGACGGAACGAAGGTGTAATTTTTGAAAAAGACATGGGGTATATTTGTCTTAAAATGGTAAAACATTGTGTTCCACAGACGTGGAACAAACCTGTTCCAAAGGGGGAGGTGGGACGCAAAAACACCCAAAATCTGTCCCGTGGAACAGCCCGTTCCACCCATTTTTGGCACACCAAACGCGGGACGGAACGCCTCGTCCCGTTCCGTCTCGTCCCGTCCCGTCCCACGTACCAAACGCACCCATATTGTACAAGGTAGGGTAATTCAAACTCACATGTAAGACGGATAAAATAATGGTAATTATTAGATAGCTGGTAAAACAAGATTTACAATTTTAATTTCATTCTTGAAAAAAATTAATTCAAAATTTTTTTTGTATCTATATCTATATACATAAAGTGAGCACCCTAAAATGGTGAAACATTCAAAATACCATAAATTGACCTTTAAGAATTTCATAAATTACAATTGAACCAAAAGAAGCTAAAGTATTTAACCATATTTTTATTTTGAATGAATTTAATATTTAAAATTATAGAAAAAAAAACAAAACAAAACCTCCCACATTAGTGGGTGGTTTCACATTTTTAATTCATTTCTTCTTTTTTTTTTTATTTTTTTTTTTAAAAAAAAATATGTAAATTAATTATTTAAATAAAAAATATATAAAAATGTTAATTGCCACACGCGTATGCGTGTGGCAAGAGGCTAGTTATATTGAATTCTCAAATTCAAAACTGTGGATAATTAATTTTTTAGGATATCAGAGCCATTTTAATTTTTTTGAAAAATACAAAACTCTAAACTGCCTTAATTTAGAGAAAAAATTCAAATCTAAAAATTAAGCGCGCTGACTTAGTCAACTAAAGGAATCCAAATTATGCTAAAACGGGTAAAGTTGCAAAAGTTTTATTTTGGTCAGGGGTATGTCATGCGCCATCTAAATGCGCGATCAATGATTCAAAATTGTTCACGAAGTATCATATATACCGATGCATACTAAAAATGTTTCTAAATTAAAACACGTGTTTTAAAAAATAGATGTTGTAGTTGGTCCCCAATTCTCCACGATGGATACAGTTGTTCAAAATGGAAAGGGCCAGGTGTCCGGACCTACAGTTGTGGGACCCATAAATTTTTGAAAAATGGTTTCTTCTAGAACTTACATTGAGGAAAACAGAAGCAAAGAGATCCAAAGGCCGAGATGAAAGCGTGAATCTAAAGCCAGCCGCAGAGTCAGCCAAGCCATATAAAAGTAGGCTCCCTGCCCACCTCCATACTCAAATCGCCACCTTCGTCTCCGTCTGTCTCTCTCACTCGGCTGCGACTCTTAGATTCTCTCTCTCTATCGCCACTCGCCGCCTCGAAGCCCCAATGGTAACTCTCTCTCTCTCTCTCTCTCTCTCTCTCTCTCTCTCTCTCTCTTCTTTTTCTGCTTTTTTAGGGCTTAGGGTTTAAGCTGGTGATCGATGATTTGGTTCGAATTTGAATTTGTTCCCGTAGGCTTTGCCGAACCAACAGACTGTTGATTATCCGAGCTTCAAGCTAGTCATCGTCGGCGATGGAGGCACTGGTAATTTTCCGTTTCCTTGTTCTGTTTCTTATGCTCTGAGTTGATGTTTTCATCGACTGTGTTGGCAGATTATTGCAATTTTAAAATTAGGGTTTTGATAAGATTTTGGGTTTAGGGTTTTGTTGGCACAATTATAACACACTCCCTCCCTAAGAAGAATTTGATTTAATTGTTCGGATATTTACAAATATTTAGTAAATTGAAAAGGCACAATATTTGGTTTGATATTTGATACCATCGAATTAAATTGATATTGATGGAAATAAACAATCTTCTTAGAGGGAAATGATTTTACATTTATTTGTCTGTAAATGAGATTATTTTCCTGGAATTTTCTTTTGATAAAACCAGTGATAAGAGCAGAGAAATTCGAAGCTAAACACCGGTTAATTTGGAGAGACAATGCCTAGGAAAGAAGAAACAATTTTAACTGTTCTCCAAGTTATAATGTTGTGTGGCGATTTGGATTTGAACTGAATGGTGATGAGTTGTGCAGGAAAAACCACTTTCGTGAAGAGGCATCTCACTGGTGAATTCGAGAAGAAATATGAGCGTAAGAGACTTTTCTGGCATTTCTCTCCATTGCGCCGTGTTGTTAGTTTGTTGTTATAATTAGTTTGACCTTGATATGTTCGCTTATACTTAACATTCATTTTCTGTTACTTTTCTTTGCAAACAGCCACCATTGGTGTGGAGGTTCATCCACTGGACTTCTTCACAAATTGTGGAAAGATCCGCTTTTACTGCTGGGACACTGCTGGGCAAGAGAAGTTTGGCGGTCTTCGAGATGGTTACTAGTAAGTGAAAATTTTCCTGTTGCTTTTGTTCTTGATATTTCATATCCACATAAAAAATCATGTGATGCATTACTGATTTTGTGTATATTTAATGGCTCCCAAAGCATTTTACAGTATCTTATAACTTCTTTTATACGTGATTACCTATCTAAGTTATTTGCCCGTTCATTGTGCTGCTTAGTTGATGGTCTCACCTAAAATTTTCCGTTGAAATATGCAGCATTCATGGGCAGTGTGCCATCATCATGTTTGACGTTACTGCTAGGTTGACATACAAGAATGTTCCTACATGGCACCGTGATCTCTGCCGGTGAGTTAACTAAATTAATGTTGTGTCAAGTCTAATGTTTCTTTATTGTTTTATTTTTACATTAGTTGGTGGTGGTTCGGTTTATTTGACTCCTCACGTTACGATTTCAGTGTGTGCGAGAACATCCCTATTGTTCTCTGTGGCAACAAGGTTGATGTGAAGAACAGGCAGGTTAAAGCCAAGCAGGTTACCTTCCACAGAAAGAAGAATCTGCAGTACTATGAGATATCAGCCAAGAGCAACTACAACTTTGAGAAACCCTTCCTCTACTTGGCGAGGAAGCTTGCAGGGTAATTACAAAGATTCTCATTTTTATTTGGTTGCTATAGCGTATCGATAATAGTAATTGAGATTAATGCTGCTGCTGTTACTTCAGTGACGCAAATCTTCATTTCGTCGAGTCTCCGGCCCTTGCTCCTCCAGAAGTGCAATTTGACATGGCTGCCCAACAACAGTAAGTATTTTCTCTATGTTAATAAACTTGAATCTTCTTTGATGTTAACATTGAAATCAGTAACTTTTCAATGCAAACATCGTGGATTCAGCATGAAGATGAAAATTGTCTCATCTCGGTCATTGTTGCTTCATGCAGGCATGAAGCTGAGCTTGCGGCAGCAGCTGCCCAGCCTCTTCCTGATGACGATGACGAGGCATTCGAATAGACGGGGAGATGACGCATTTCAATAGACCGTGGCATATTTCTTCTAGGACATGGCTTTCATTCGTTCTGCTGGGATTTGATTTTCAAAGTGTCATGTGTTAGAACTTAGAACACAGGGCCTCTTTTAGTCAGATTCAGCTACAGCAAACTATTAGCTCTTGTTTATCATTGGTTGTGCTGTTAGTTAATCGTATGGATGTTCGTTCTCCAGTAAATTTCTCCTTGAATTTGCGTTGCCTAAGGCCAATAGTGTATTTTCGGAACTCGATTGTTTCCGAACTTCTATAGATTGATTAGTTCCCTGTTCTTGGTTCTAGATGAAAGGCATGCACAAAACCATTTTAGATCATAATTCCATAGGCTTTTCGCTTCGGAGCAAAGCAAAATCTTGCACTCGTTTAGGGTTGCGAATTTACGAGACGCTACCACAAATCTGAACTGAAATTGAGGGAACTGAGAGTTTCTGTTGAGTCGAACAAGGCTACAATCTTTTGATACGAACCGGATTGGACGAGAGGAGTTCAAACACCGTCCTCTGGTGCAGGTGTAAATACTATTGAACCAACGAAGAACCTCAGGTGCATGCTTAAACGCTCTTAATCACTTCAATTACAGTCTCGCAACAAGGCTGCAGCTTGTGTTGCTCAAATGTTAATGTTTTTCGACGATATTGACGTTGTCTTTCTAGCACAAACCCTGCCCTTGTTGCAATAACAAGCGCATATGGTACGTGCTTTTCTGATCTGTCTGCGAGAACAAGGAGGGGAAGCCAAGTAGCCTTATCATGTCTGTGTTATGTGTTTGTCCCAAATTTCCAATCATGTGTTTGTGTCTTGTCTTAAGAACACAAGGGAAGGGAGCAGTTAACTGCAGTACAAACCTTTCAACAGCATAAGTTTGCCTCATCACAACATGTGAGGTCCACATGGCACGAGATAAGTGCCCGTCTGCTGGCTCTGGCTAAGTGCTTCTGGGCCGTACACACAACACACAAAACATAGGTCCCAAACCCACTTGCCGTGTCTCAGGAACCCAATATAGCCAAAGATATGCAAGCATTTAGTAAGCGTGGCGTACTTTCCTTCGATAGCTTCACCGTCCCGCTTTGTGCAAGACGTCGTGTCCCTTCTAAACTTTAATTTCATTTATTAATATGATTGATTGTTATAGTGTGCAGAATCATTATTTGAAACCTAAGCTGTGATATATAAGGATATATATGGTTGATTGCTTCAATCTGGCCATTCACGAGAGCATAATCTATAACCTAGTACTTTCAAACTGAGTTGAATACATTAGACTATAGTTTGAGTGGTAACTTTAATACTTAAAACCTAACATAAAATTTACCCTAACAAGGACAAGGCGCCTACAAGGAATCTCTCGCTAGTAGGAACATTGTTCATTTCAGAAAACAAGTAAATGATATGGCTCCCCCGGTTACCCAATTTGAGCCCCAATATTATTACCAAAGATCGCAAGGTCTAGTCCCTGTCGGTGTCGGTTCGAAGCACACTCAAAGAGACCACAATTGTGTTCAATGTGAGTGTACATACAACTAGAACTAGGGCATCCACATCATTCCAACCAGGAGTGTGGGGGCATGTGAAAGCTGGTCTTGGCTCTTGCCATCATGTTCTGTGACAGTCTATGATATCTTATGTTTCTTTCTGTGCCTTGTGGCTGTAGGGGTGGCCCTTCAACTTCAAGGGCACCGTCCAAAACTCCAGGGGCTCTCATATGGGATCACAGGCCCCATTCCTGCTCCTCACGAGTAAGAGGTAATTTTAGCTTTATGGCAGCAAAAAGGGTGGCTTTCGCTGTCCGTTGTCGGTCCGGTTTAGGGTTTATGGCTTTGGGCTAAGGCTAGCCCTAGCAGGGCCACAATTATATATCCCAATTGGCTTCCATTGTCATCTTTTCAAAAGTATCTTCTACTGCTATTATCCTGAATGGGCTCTCTTTCCAGTGACTTTCACTGTCTTGCTTCCTTTTTGTGAAATGGCTATTCTTTCTTTTTCTTAGGGTTTCTCTCTCTCTTAGCTTTAGTACCGACGTCCATATGCGTTTTCTAACTTCTTAAACCCTAATTTATTTCATGATAGATACTCTATCGAATTGTGACAAATATATACGAACTAACATGTTAAGATTTTAAAGGAACGGTCCAACAGTACACTACTAATTATTACTCCATGTCAAAACCAATAAGTGCGACATTTTTTCACAAAAAGTTTACTTTATTAAATTAGAAGTGAAACCATCCAATATAATTTGTATGTAACTAGTTCAGGTTTCTGACGTGAGACTCATTAGGCAGAGTCGCATTTTCTTACGTTCCCTAGCTCACTAACTAATTAATCATACTTACTGCTTCTTACTCATACAACGATTAATTAAAATGCATATATAGGTTTATGTGGTCGGTACATTTGTATGTGTGCGTGTGTGAGTAATGCATTTGAGTTTGCGACTCAACATACTTGCCCATCATAAGCAAAATTCAGATACGAATTCATATGAATAAATATGGAGAAAGGAGGGGGGGGGGGCTCCTTCTCCTCCTCCTCCTCATCGATCCTCATGGTAGGGTAAAGTGGAGCATGAAGACGATGATGGCGACGAGAGGAATTCATTGTGGCCTGCTGTGTGGTATGCTTATATTACAAATATTTCATGTAAACTTGAAACAGGACAAGTTCTGTAAAGGAGGCATGTGCCTTACGCATAACGGGACTATCATAAATACAAGGATAGCAAGCAACTGTCTTTGTCTATGCTATATGCATGTATTTCTCATGCTACTATACCTGAATTTAATACCACCATTCATAACTTCATACTTGTAGTAGCTTTTTTCATTACCTCTCTCTCTCTCAGCTTAGTTGTGACGATCTGGAATCCCATGCTTTATTTTCTTTCAACTTCATGTCACTTGAAAGCGCAAAGACTTTGGTCCTATATAGCTCATCTAATATTCTCAGCTACCTACTTTTATTCACTTGCTAATTAAGAAGTTCGTTTGGTAATTGTTTTGTTTTTACTTTTTACTTTTTGTGCTTGAGGTATTGAGTATGAAAGAAAGGAAAGGTAAAGAAGGGTAAGGGAGAGAGGGAAAGAAATAAGGAAGAATGAACGTAAGAAAAATCTTGAAAGTAAAAACTACTTAAAATTGTTTTTAGTTTTCATTTCGTATGCCTTCGTAAAATTTCTTCTACGTCTTTCTCCCCGTTCTTTATCTCTCCTTTCTCTCTGAATTTCCCTTCTAGCACTGACACAAAGAGAATGAAAACAAAAACAAAAAACAAAATTGTTGTTAAATACGGTTAAAGCTATATAATGACTTTCCTCTCCATGAATTTCCCCTATTCACAATTTTTTTTTCATGTACATTTTTTTTTTTTTCAATTTTTTTGAATCAAACAAAATAAAAAGAAATTAAAAGACAGAAAGCAAAGGTGCACTGAAAATCATTTCCCCCCAAAAAAAAAGTTGATCGCGATACCTCTTGTGCTTCTTGAGGGATAGTAATGTGATGAAGTATTATTTATAATGTGATATCTTTGGTGACAATTACTTACAACTGAATCAAATTAAATATTTGAGTGTCACATGATTGTCTGTTTAAACATTCCCCCAACATCTGCCTAATTCGTACTAGTAAACATTAAAATTGCATTGTATCATGCAATACCACGTGCCTGGATCTTCCACACATATTTTTTTTTTACTTTAGATGTATAAAAAATTCATACTTTAGAATGTACGTAGAAACACACATAATTCAATATATAATAAAATTCAATATGTTTTCATATTTTTAACAAGAAATTAAACTAGAGATTCAGATTCTCTTTCCTTCCATTTTTTCTTCTTTCCGGTCTTTTTTTATTTGAACGCTCATAATTAAGCCATATCGATATTTTGTATTACCTCTTTGTAGAGAGAAATACCAAGAGGAGAGAGAGAGAGAGAGAGAAAGGAGGGGACCGGAGGGAAGGCAATGAGGGAGGAAAAAATCCTACTCCGTAAGCTAGGGAATAAGATGGGTTCTGAAACTATATATACAAATTGGAAGTCATGGTTGTTGGGAACAGACATAAGTAGACAAAGAAACATTTGGGATTTGTCACAATGGAAAATGTAACATTTGTTGTTTGGTTTGGTTTCCGTTTACAATTTTGTGAACTGTAAATTTTAACAATTGAACAACTTCACAATATCTGTTCCTGTGAGAAAATCTTGGGAAGGTAGAAAAAGGTGGGAAAATAGGGATTGAGATCAACTCCAGATTATGTGTTTGGAGTCCGCGGATTGATCACTCAATTTCAATCACACGGCCTTCATTAGCTTATCTTACAGGCACACTTCATAAAAACCCAAAAATTTTAACTGTTCAAATATATTTCTCTCTCTGAACGGTCCGAGTCTCTTGGTCAACGAGATCTGGAGTCGATCTCATTCTGTAAAATAGTCATCATGGATGTCAGTGAACAGTAAAACCAGTGGAACTGGATATAGAAATAACAAATTAGGGTTGCTATATACAAAAAAAAAAAAAAAATTAGGGCTTGTAACTATGTAACTGGAAAAGAAAAAGAAAAAAAATCAGGTCCTCGATTCACGAGGGGGATTTGGCTTGTGCTTGTGGCCTGTGGGTGGAGAGAAGTACGGATTTGACATTGCTTCTGCCTGTGATTCTTGTACATTACTGCCGGAGGTTGTTATTTTGCCAGAGGTGGTTATTTTCTCACTCAAAATACGGTGTATTTTGCCAGAGGTGGTTATTTAGTTGCACATGTAACGTTTAAACTATCGTTGCACACCAAACAGAGAGTTCCCATTCTATGTTTTGGTTTTGAAACTGTTCATAATTGGAGACCATGATTTACAATCAATTGAAAGAGAATGCTAGTCTGTTATGAATGGAAACGTTTTTTTTTTTGCTTAATAAGAAATGAGTTTGAAATTTTCAGAGGGTCACCAGTCGACTGTTTTAAGAATATTCACTTGTAATCACGGGTAACACAAATAACTAAATGTTTATTTATAGAATATGGTTAAGTGAAACAAATTATATTACTAAGCTCTTGGGATTAACTTCTGTAGTAAGGGAGTTGAAGTGATGAGTTAAGATTATGATAGATTAAACCTTTGATTATCTCTAATGTAACTAAAATTATAGTGTAGTTGTAAAAGTTTACACATTTATGATAATATAATTTTTTACAGAATTGTGACATAATGACTACATTGATTTTGAGACACGTACTTGCAGGACTACATTGAACAATTTTCAATTTTAG